GTCTCAGCTTCACAACCCTTTCTCTGAAATAACACCCCAGCTTGCCCAACTCATTGTTTCAGGATGGAAATCCTCTCTCCAATTCCCTGTCTCCAGCCCCTGAGGGAGGGGTCTTTGATTATTTGAAAGAAGAAGTCCAAGTATCAAGGACCTCATTTTGCTCTCAGCTCTGATCTGACCCTTCTGAAAAGAGAAGAAACGTTGGGGAGATCACTGCCCTGTTGGCACAAATATTCGAGGGAAACTCATGATACCAATGATGTATCGACCAACATCTGTTGCCTGAGCAACAAAAGATTCTTCACGAGGGACAAAGAACAGAATATTTGACCCTAAGGACTGTCCTGAAACATGGAGGGTGAGTGGTCCCCAAACAAGAGGGGAGGGCATTAGGAGTGGGAACATCCTCACAAGTCTTCCATGCTCTTTCACCTTCTCCCTGTCTTTCTCTTTCCACTTAGCTCTTTCTCCCTCTTCTAGGCATTTCCATTTGCCCCTCTTCTCTCCCCCAACACACAGGCCTAAGGATACACACATAGTCCCCCTTGCTCTCTCCCCTCCTCCCTCCTCCTTGCACCTTCCCTTTGCCCCTCTCCATTTGTTCCCCATTCGCTCTCATCCACACCTTTACAGCCACACCCTCATGCTGCAGAGTCTCCCTTCTTGAGAAGAGGGTGGAGTTCCTTTCCCAGGACCTGCTCAGTTTCTCTGAGTCTGGTTCGTTTCCCGGTGAATCCTTTGCTGTTGTCAGTGTCTTAACAGGCTTAGATAGCCTGCCCCTCCCCATCTGAGCTGGCATCCTTTATGTTTAATTAATCAAACCTCTTTCTTTTCTTCTAAGACCTGGGTGAATGCTCACCGCTATCTGATGATAAGGCCTGTGAGCATCATGCCTAAGGAATCTGATTAGATGAAGCACTGGGTCTTCAATCCTCAGTAAAATTTCTTCTAATGCAACATATTGTCTAGTTTCACTTGGCTACTAATTTTTAGGGATTAAATTAGCTGCTAGCATGAGCCCAAGGGATTTGTCAAAATAGGAATGGTAGGACCTCAGAACAACAGAATTTCAGAGCTGCAAGGGGCATTGGAGACTGTCCAGTTCAGTTCCCTCAGCGGAGAAGACAAGTGGCTTGCCCACAGGTACCCAGCAGAGTCGGGACAAGACCACAACCCCTTGGTCTCCTCTTCAGCCGTTTTGCATCTCTGCCAGGATATTGTCGCCAGTGTTAACCTATGCCTAAAGGGTTCTCAATTTTAATTACCCCATTCGAAGAGACATTTCCTGAAACAGGCTCAGGAAATGGCCTTATGTGCCACATAAGGCCAATGGCACCAATAGCAGAGGAATCCGTTTTAGTTCCGGGGAAATGCCATTTCCACAACAGGGAAAAAAATGTTGACCCAAATATTTTGTTAAAAAGGAAGAGAGAGAAACAGTAATTCCCCACAAGGGTTTGTACCTTTATCTGTATGCTTCAGTATCAGTGGCTCTCCTAGTTAAATTGAGAGAAATGATTTTACCCAGTCAGGGCACCAGGGACTGAAGCGATACGAAGAGTGGTATTGGAACACAGGTGTTTGGAGGTGGGGTGTTGGGAATCCAAGTAAACTCCTAATTGGAGCCATATTTGGGTTCCCTTGATTACTGAATAGAAATCCAGGGTCTTCTGGGCAGAACTAGGGAGAATATTGGAAAAGGGTGGTTTATGATCAGAAAATTCCAGTTCTACACCGGTTAAGGATTATGAGCTCTTCCCAAGGGACTGACGTCCAGATTGGCAGCCAGCAATTAGACAAGGTTATATTTGATTGGCAGCCTGTTCCTGTAGTGTCCACCATAACAGTGGTAACAGGGTACAGGCGTGGGCCACATGAACTATGGACCAAGTTATAGAATAACCCCTAGAAGCCCGTGTTTCTGGTATTGGATTGGTTTAACCATGACCTCATGCATGACAACTGGGTGTGCCCCTCTGAGTATGGACATCTGAGAGTCCCAAATGTCTCTGAGCTTTTGTGCTTGGCAGCTGTGTATATCCATCTGGTAAGTTAAAGAAAAAACCATATTCATGTATTTAGAAAATAAGATACCTCAGAATCAAATCACGTGGATATAGTTGACTATGTACGTAGTTTCAAAGCTTCAAAAATGTCCCTGCTCTTTCTGAGTCTTAGGCAAAAATAATAATAATAATAATAATAATACCTTCCAGTTCCATCAAGTTTTATCTATTAAATATTAAATAAGGGTTAAATGTTTAGAGGATAAGGAGAATTGGGTAGAATAACAGCAACAACAATGGAATAGTCATTTTCTGGGTCACTTCAGGACCACAGAACTCGGAATAAAGTATAGAAGTTATAGAAAAGCCAATTTTGCTGGATTTAAGAAACTCTAACATTAGAGCTGTCCAGCAAAGGGGGATAAGTATGGAGATGCACTCTGAAGTACCAAGCCCCCTTCTCTGGAAATTTTAATGAAATATAAAATGGTCATCTGTCTTAGGTGGTATAAGAATAAGACTTCTGCTTATCGTAGGAGAATGAACAAGTTGATCTCTGAGATCCCTTCCAAACTAAGAATTCAATGAACAAAATCAACCATGGAATATAACTAAATTTGCCTTGTGTCCTTTTCTGTGGCCATTTTTCAGCTATATTCCCCATCAGATTCTGAGGCATCTACAGAAAAGCCGTTTTGCTTCATCTAGAAGTCTTTTTAGGTCTCTGACTGCTCTCTCTCCATTGATCCCAGTGGGTCCAGCACGAAACCAAACCCCCAGAATCAACCAGACCAGGCCAAGATGGTCCACATCCTAGGGTGCAGGTGGTCTCTAGGGAGCCCATTCACTAGCGCCCCCCCCCCCCCCCCCGGAGTCTGGATATCCCCCTGAGAACCCGGTGGGCTGAAGCTGGTCTCTGGAGGGAGGCGGGAGGAGTTGAGAAAGCTACAGTAAGTCTTCTTGGTGGTCTGTAGAAGGGATGTCTTTCCGCAGAGTCTGCCCACACTCCTGGGAGGTAGCCAGCGTCTGTTCTGGGATGTGCTCTGCTCTGGGTTGGTCCTTGATGGCCTTCTGCCAACTCCCAGGACAGTTTAGTACCCTCAAACAATGTAAAATCTGGGGGGTCCTCTGACCAGGATGCCAGAACGGATGTCCTGCCGCCCTCCAGACAGCACTCCACCCCCGCCCCATTCTTCAGAGTCTGGGGTGGAATTTGATCCGCCTCTGAGGGTGGAAGGCCGCAGGGAGGAAAAAAAAATAACCTCACATTTCAGTATTGTCAAACACTTACAGCTGAAATCCAGAAAAACTCCCGCCCTGAGGAACTTTCTCACTACTTCTTGGAGGAAGAGGAGAAAGCAGGCATCAGAACAGCATTTCTTAAATTGCCCTCCAATTCCAGGAATTTTCTCATTTATAAAACTACAGTGTAATGTGAAATGCTGAACAAATAACGCAATTCACGAGGGTATACACCTCCAGAATTGTCAGTATTTTCTATTGGCTGACATACATATTGTTCATTAGTTTTAACCTGCACAGAACTAAAAGAAGATCTGTACGAGCTTTATAGAATACCACTACTAGCAACTTAATAATGGCTTCCCTAATCCACATCCATGTAATCTGGAAATAATAAACATTTTAAGCAAACGTAGGAGTTCCCAGCATCTTGAAAAGTTGCCCTCACACTTACTTCATCATCCCCTCAAGGGCAGTTTTACTAAGAGCCTTGCCGGTACAATGTACACAGGCTGATTACATTTAAATCTTCTCTTCCAATGTACTGCGTTTCTAAAGGAAAAGCCTAATTTCGACAGACAAGCTGAATCCTGTCATTTTCCTCATCTTGTTTATGTGAGAGAAAAACACACCAGTCCGTATGTTGAAATGGGCCACACCTCAACCAAAACGCTAATCAAAAAAAAAAAAACAGCAAATAAGAATCACTCTTCTTCCTTTCTCCAGATTCATGATAAGCACTAGTGTTGACATTTGTACAACCACGTTTTGCAAAGAGTGAGAAGGTAAATTTTTTGGAACGATCACTGTGCAGAAAAATTCCACATCCACCTAAAAAAATTCTTTGATCGTTTCTGATATACCGTATTTTCTCTCAGCACTTAAATGCAGCTATTTCTGGAGTGAAAGCAAAAAGCCATTCAACACTTTTTTTTTACAGGATGAAGTTCACGTGCTCCACCCTCTCCTCCAAACTCAGTTTCCCGCCTGCCTTCCCCCTTCCTCCATATGGCCAAGGGGAGAAGGAACTCTGTGATCCGCATCAGCCCCCTGATTCCACCAAATGAACCCCTCCCGCTTTTTATTTGAAACACCAGTTGGTCCTCTCTCTCTCTCTCTCAAAGTTTTCTTTAAACAGACCCATCCCCCTCCTCCCATCCTGCGGGAAGGAAAAACACTTAAATTTAAACAGAAGTGAATGAACAAGCAAAGGGCAGTAGCAAAAGCCATGACAAAAATAAACTGGAAAGCAGATATCTACCCACCGTCACCCCGAAAAGACCAACAAACAAACAACATGCAAAGAAACAATTCAAGTCCTGAAGAAATTTGAGGCAAAAAGGAGAAATTGAAAACATCCGGCAAGCGCGGTACATCATTTCAAAGGTGTGTTGTGTTTCCTCCATAAAGAATATCCTATCCCACTGTGTTCCAAAGTTCCTGCTCCCTTCACATCCTCACAGCAGGAACGCAGTTCTGCAAGACATAATTACAGCCCAGTCCTGCTGATTTCCCTGACACATTCCCCCCAGGCAAAATGTGTTTTTCTGAACCTGATGGAAAAAGTCGTGTCAATATCCATTTTTAGCCAAAAGTTTCAAGGATTCAATTCAAGGAATCATAGAAAAATGTTGAAGGAAGAAAGAAAAAGCTAAACTTAGATGAGGTCAGAAGAAGGAGCGCAGTGGGAAGGAAAGAGAAAGTTCGCTGAGCTTCGCCGGGGTGCTGAGAGCTGCCTTACCTGACGTCTGAGGGACGGAGACGCCCGGAGTGGCAGGAGCTGGTGGCCGCCTGGTCCACTCTTCTGGAGGTATGTGAACGCAGTGAGGGGAGGGACCTGCCTCCCGAGGTTATAAGTTTCCTGCACTGGTGTGTTGGGGTGTGTGATGGGCGGTTTCTTTTCACTGTGTTTTAAAGGAGTTTCTATGAATCAGTCTGGCTTTAAAAAAAAAAAAAAAAAAAACAAGATTTGTTGGTAAGCTACGCCCTGCTAAATTGGCCGTCAGTCAAGAGAGGCTGGGAGTGAGCCATCAATTCAAAGAAGCCTGTTTAGGCTCTCTGACTCAGACACAGACCACAGTGGAAAAAGGAATGACATTGCTTCAAATGAGTAATGGAGTCACACAAATAGATCTGTTTACCAAAGCCCATTCCTCCTCACCAAAAAGGGGACTTGGTTACCATGGCATAGGCAAAACATGAGTTATCTACCCAAACTTTCATCTGGGGAGGGGGAGGGGGAGAGGGGAGGGGAAGGGGCAGTGCCCTGCCCATTGAAATCCTAGCTGATCATCCCAGGAGACTCCCATTCTTCCTCCCCCACCAAATGCATCAGCTGCTGCTCACTGTCAGGAAGGATGGACTGATTTCTGATGTACTTCCCTGCCCGATTGTGGTGCACTGTTCTGCTTTTGGCTGTAAGAGGAGGCTCTCGAAGCAGGAGACACACCAAGAGTCCTCATAATCCTGCCTCTGAATGATGGAGTGCTGGTCGGACAGCAGACTGGTCTCTAATTACACTCCTTGAATGCCATAGGGACTCCACATATTCAGGAGGAAGTCCTCTAGTTAAGAACTTTGCGGGCCTGTCCCTTGGCTTAGCGGTTAAGTGCGCGCGCTCCACTACTGGCGGCCCCGGTCCAGATCTGGGGCGCGCACCGACGCACCGCTTCTCCGGCCATGCTGAGGCCGCGTCCCACATGCAGTAACTAGAAGGATGTGCAACTGTGACATACAGCTATCTACTGGGGCTTTGGGGATTGGCAATAGATGTTAGCTCAGAGCCGGTCTTCCTCAGCAAAAAAAAAAAGAGGAAGATTAGCACGGATGTTAGCTCAGGGCTGACCTTCCTCACAAAAAAAAAAAGGACTTTGCTCTCTGATCTCCATGTAATAATCATCTGGACCTTGCTCCACAATTGAGCTGCTTGTGCTAGGCAGGAGCCTAATCATCAGAGCCTCCCTGCGCCCCTCCTCTCTCTCACTCAGCCCCGGAGCTGGGATGGGCCCTAGAAGGTGTCTAATCCCCCAGCCTAGGCATTCCACTGGAGACAGAGAGAGCAGAGGCCTGAGTGCAGGGCCAGCTCCCCACTTCTTAACTGTGTGACTGTGGGCCAAACAGTCTCTCTGTGCCTCAGTTTCCTCATGCATAAATGGGGGTAGAAGGTACCTATCTCATAGATTTACAGTAGAAATACATGTAGAGAGCTGATAACAATACTTGGCACGTAGTAAGCACTCAATAAATGTTAACTATAATGATTATTTTACTGAAGAAGAAACTCAGGCCCAGAGAGGTGGTGAGTGACCTAATAAGACACAGTAAATTAGCAGTAGCAGTTGGTTCCAAGTCTGCCACATCCAAGCAACTCTATTTCTGTTGTTTGCTGTTGCATCGTGACAACCTGTCTCAATTCAATTTATTCTTATATAGATATTTATTCATTCAGCCAATACATCTGCACATCACCATACACCAGGCACTGTTCTGAGCATTGGGTCACAGATGTTAGCAAGATCCCTGTCCTCTGGGAACTTATATTCCATAGAAGAATAGAGAACAGACTGGTGGACCACCAAAATGTTGATAAAATTAGGTGGTAAAATTATAGTTGAATTTTAGTTTCTACTGGATCACATTTCTATATTTTCCACATCTTCTGCAATAAACCTATATTACTTTGGTTTTTAGGAAAAAGTATTTTTAAATGGAAAGGAGAGAATATTTTCTGAAGTGGATGATGGGGCAAACACCACACACACACACACACACACACACACACACACACACATTGATTTGATGCTGCATCTTCCCAAGTCCTTGAGAACTGAAAACTTCCCAAGTCATTGTCAGGATGAGACAATGTCGATTTTTATATTAAAAACTGACGATGTGACAGAAGATTGTGTCAGTTTCTCATCTCTTTCCTCAACTCGCCTCTCTCCCATCACTCATTTGATGATAAAAATGCCTGTTTGAGAGGAGCCAATCCCAGCAGCGGGTTAGTCCCCATGATCTCGGAGCAGCCTAACCCTCAGGGAAGGGAGGACCGCTGATGGTGAGGCCCAGGGAGCCCTTAAGGCGGTGACTGTGAGTGTGGAATGACTGGCACATTCTGCCTGCTGAGAGGCAGTCTGCCATCTCCCAGGTCCCCTCCCACCCTGGGGTTTGCCTTTCACCTCCAAGGCCTCCTGCCAATTCCAAACTCTCTCTTCCCCCAGCAGCATGGAAAGGAGGGCTGGGCTCCAGAGGTAGAGTCCTGGGGTGCTGAAGAGTATCTGGTCTGGTTGCATTTTTTAAAGAGAAATCTAGAGCCAGAGAACATTGGAGGAGAAGCATTCTCCCTCCCGCCCCTCTCTTGGGTTAACAAAAGGAAAAAGCAGAAATTTCCCTTTTGGTACTCGAGGAGAGGAGTCATGGGGTCCTTCTGGTTTCCCACACTGGGTTTGCAGTGGATTGAGGAAGCGGTTCTGAAAATGGTACCCAAAACAGGAATTCTCGTTTTCCTCTCCCACTGCCCAGCAGTGGAGTGAGCAAGCGATCTGCCTCCTGCATTTCAACCTTAAAGTGGGCAGATGTCACAGCCTTCCAAATGGGCCTAATAAATCTCATCTTCTGTGTACTTTTGGAGATGTTTAGGTTTTAGAGAGACAATGTTAAATGCTTTGAGCTCTTCAAACGTGTACACACACACACACACACACACACCTGCACACACAGTGGTACCATATAAAGCTAAGTTGTGTAAATATTTTTAAAAGATAAATGCCAGTCTAGGATTTCTAAAGGCTCGTAATTAACCCTTTAATGTCACTGAGCTCATTTTGTCAAACAAAGTTATCAAGTCTGGGAAGGAAACTGGATCTGTTCTGGCTGAAGCACCAGTTTATTGTGCCTCTGGATGTGATTAAAATGTTAAGTCTGCTTCTTTCCGTGGCCACGAGCGGGACTATTTTAAGATGTGGATAGTAAAGGGTTCAGGAGTCTGAAACCACACGGGGCTAGAGAACACAGCTCTCTCTGGCATGTACTGGGTCTATTCAAACAATTCGGGGTAATCTGCCTTTCTGCTCTGTGCTCCCACTTCCCTCATTTAGACACATTCATTTTCCACATGAGTAAGGAACTGGGCAAAGTTTCAATTGACCTCAATAAAGCCATATATTCTTGGGAAGGAATGTCCCCTTTTGCCCAGTGCCACAGTATTACTCTCATCACAGGAATATTTCCCCCGCCTTCTGAAGCAATAAAAATCACCTTCTGGCACGATGCCACCTGGGGCAGATTTTTCAGGTTTGAACTGCTGTAAACACTTTGAACGAATGTGTGAATCAAGGGCTTTTAATGACTAGATACAAGGAGAAATTCCTAAGGTAGGTCTGGCCCCTATGACCCCTAGAAAAGAATACTAATAAAGCTTGAACTTGTTTTTGCTTAAACTCAGTTAGCCAAAAAGAATCTCAGACACGTTCCCCAAAGCTGTTATATGCGCAGGGGATGTCAAGCTTAATACTAGCAAACACTTCTGGAAAGGCTGAAAAAAAGTAACATAGTATCACCCAAAGTCAAATGAATGTTTGCTCCTTGCCACTCTTATTTGAAATTTGAGAATTTACCAGAAATGTCATATTCCTCCCTCTTTCCTTCCTGTCACTTCTTTCTGCCATGCTTTCTTGATTTCTCCCTCAGGCTGTTTTCTTCCTGCTTTTATTGTTTACTTTCTTCAATTCCCCTCGGTGAGATGTCATCTTAATATAATTCCACAAAATGAGAAGTCTCTAGAATCCCCTTAGTCTCCCCCTTTCTTGTCTCTTAGTGAGTTCGTCCTGAAAGCGCTTTTGAAAGACGAAGCTGACGAAACTCCTAGAGTGTTCCCAGGACCCGGGCCCTTGGCCCGACGCTTCCAGCTGAGTGGGAGGTCTCACTGACAAAGTGGTGCGATGCATGCAGTTATAGCAGAGAGATGGCTGTGTTGACAGTGACGTCGGAACTTGGCAGGGAAAATAAGCCAACCCTGCCACCTTGGACAGTTACTAGATTGATAATAATTGCTGTAATCAACTTCTTCAGGCAGCTGGGATGTGCATGGATGGTCAAAATGGCTGAAAGAACAGAACCTCCTGAGCCATGTTCACACGGCGGTAGCTTCATAGCCAGAGAAGAAAAATAAGCCAACAATTAAGCAGTTGTGGCCAAAATAAAAAAAGATCCTGGGGTCAGCCCGGTGGCATCATGGTTAAGTTCACGTGCTCTGCTTCAGTGGCCTGGGGTTCACAGGTTCGGATTCCAGGCACAGACCTATGCACCATTCATCAAGCCATGCTGCGGTGGTGTCCCATACACAAAACAGAGGAAGATAGGCACGGATGTTAGCTCAGGGCCAATCTTCTTCAGCAAAAAAGAAAAGAAAGAAAGAAAGAAAGAGAGAGAGAGAGAGAGAGGGTGGGGGGGAGGGAGGGAGGGGGAGAGAGAGAGAGAGAGAGAGAGAGAGAGAGAGAGAGAGAGAAAGAAAGAAAGAAAGAAAGAGAAAAGATCCCGTCTTTCTCCAAGTAATGTCAACTGCAATGCTAGAAGGTAGATCTTAAAGGTATATCGCCTTCTTCATTTTGTCCCTCTATGTCACTGTACGCATTATTCCTACTGCTTAATGGACCATTTCAGGTAAAGAACTGAATATTCATAAGTAATTAAAGAGTGACTCTCCCTTCCTTTGCATACAGTGGGCAGCAGGTCCAGGAGGTAGATGCTGGCTACAGAGCAAGTATTCAATTAAAATCTAGTACATGTAATTAATGAAATGTCCAATCCCCAAGTAAAAGAATCTCATGTCCTCCTTTAAGATTTTCCTCTCACATTCAGAAGGTGGTCAAAGCACCCCTCTAGCTAAGCCCCCACAGCTGTGGGAAAAGCAGTGAGCACATATCTTTACATCTGCTGGAGGAAA